TATGCTGAGCCCCTCTTCAATTGTTAGAGAAACATCAAGTGATGGGAAAACATATTCACACCCGTCCTCCCATTGACCCAGCACATCTCTTTCACTGGCAAAAGCCTTCAGTGACGGTGGTAGTGACTCACAGACCTCATCCACTATTTTTCCAATCAATCTCTCAGATCTTACATTGGCCAATCGTCCTAGTTCAACTAGAGAGGTATTCATGGCTCTAAAGAGATGTCCCAGCTTTGTGCATCCAGCCTCTCTCAGTGCTGATCGTAGACTGGAAGACTTTAATGACCTTACATTAATGAAATCATTAAAAAATAGAGGCTCTTCAAAGATCCACATTCCAGGCAATGCAGTTGAATCTCTTGTAGTTTTCAAAATGTGATATGCATTTAAAACTGAATAATAGAAGGATGTTAATTCCCCAAAATCTACTTCTTCAGTTTTTAACAAAAAAAGTTGCTTACTATAACCCAGCCTCCCTGCCTTCTGTAAAAGCAACTTTGCAGTTTCATGCCATCTCAACCCATTCCCATATAGAAATCTCTGTACAGTTTTTAATCTAAACGTCACAATACGTGAAGATAAATCTACAAGTCCCTGACCCCCCTCACAAAGAGGCAGATAAAGGGCAGCAGCTCTAATCCAATGACAGCCTGACCAAAAAAAATCTAAAAGTTTCCTCTGTAAACTTTTAACCAGGGCCTCCGGTGGATTTAAAACCATAAATTTATGCCAGAGCATGGAAGCAACCAAATTATTTATTACAAGAACACGCCCTCTGTATGACATCTGGGGCAACAACCATTTCCACTTGGACATTTTTTCAGACACCTTCTCCATTATTCCCTCCCAGTTCTTTTCTTGATATTGTTGTGTGCCCAAAAAAATACCCAAAACTTTAAAGCCATTTTTCCCCCATGTCACACCTCCAGGTAAACAAGGCAGCTTTTCCTGTTCCCACTTTCCCACCTGTAAAGCCTCACTTTTATCCCAGTTGACTTTCGATGAAGACGCCTTTTCATAACACCTCAAAGCCCTTAAAATTGTACATACATCATCATCATTTTTAATGAATATATTGATGTCATCAGCATAAGCTGAAACAACTAAAGGGGACTCAAAAATGTGATTTGGTAACCTAAAACCATTCAAATTGTTCCTCAAAAAACACAAAAGAGGTTCAATAGCTAATGAATAAAGCTGTCCTGAAATAGGACAACCTTGCCTTATTCCTCTTTCCACAGGAATTGGTCTGCTAAGTCCTCCCCCTACTTTGACCATGCAAGAAGCTCCATTATAGAGGAGACTTATCCAGGCAATAAATCTCTCTCCAAAACCAAAAGCTTTTAAGACAGAAAACAAAAACCTATGATCGATTCTGTCAAACGCTTTCTCCTGGTCTTAAGATAAAAGTCCAACATTTTGATCATACACTTTAAACACATCTAACACATCTCTTATCAAAAATAGGTTGTCCATTATAGTCCGATCTGGAATACAATAGGTCTGATCCATGTGCACAAGCAAGCCGATATAAGGCTTCAACCTATTGGACAGAGCTCTAGAGAGCACTTTATACTCGGTACATAAAAGCGCAACAGGCCTCCAGTTCTTAAGATGTGATAAATCTCCTTTTTTTGGAAGTAAAGTTAATACAGCTCTTCTGCAAGAAGTTGGAAGTAAACATTGTTCAAAAGAGCTCATCAGGACTTCATGAACATCGGATCCTATAGTCCTCCAAAAATGTTTAAAAAAGTCAATACTGAGTCCATCTATTCCGGGTGAGCGCCCCGAAGTCAGCTGATTAACAGCTATAGTGAGTTCCTCCAGGCTTAGTCCTTTATCCAGTTCTGTTTGTTCAATTCCACTGAGTTTAGGCAGACCTTCTAAAAGTTCTTGGACACATTCTTCATCACATTGCTCTTTGCCATACAACTCTGTATAAAAAAGCGCGGCGCATCTTCTCATTTCTCCTCCATCAGTTGTTACATGCCCATCCGGACATCTCAGACATGTCATGCGCTGATTTTTCACATCAGTTTTTTCCAAGTTGAAAAAAAACGTACTTGAGGCATCCATATCCTTTAATTGAATATATCTTGACCTCACAAGGGCCCCTTTTACTTTTTCTTGTAGCAAAGAACTCAGCTCCACTCTCTTTGTTTTCAAAGTGTCATTGCTTTCCGCATCCCCACCATTTAAAAGGCCATTTTCAATCTGTTTTATGGCCTCCTCAACTTCATTTATAGCCTGTTTTAACATAGTAGAAGAAAAAGAAGTATATTGTTGACAAAAAATTCTGATTTGAGCCTTTCCAACTTCCCACCACTTATTTAAAGACTCAAATAGACTCCTTTTTTCTTTCCACTTCTGCCATAGAATTTTAAAATTCTCACAGAATGTTACATCTTGGAGCAGTTTATTGTTGAAGTGCCATTGAGATCTAGTAACATTTTGCATCAAAGAAATAGTCACAGTAATAAGATGATGATCAGAAAATCCAACTGGTCTAATTACACTTTCAATTAACTTTGATCTAAGTCCGTGTGACAAGTAAAATCTATCTAGTCTTGCTGCACTCACTCTTCCATCTAAAATTTTGACCCAAGTATATTGTCTTTCATTTGGAAATTTAATTCTCCATGCATCTATAAGATCTAACTGGACCAGTAAACTTTTTAAATTTCTACTAGATTGCAAATGTGGCTCCTCACTAAGTCTATCGTTGTTAAAATCAACAGTGCAATTCCAGTCCCCACCTAGAATAAGATAGTCAAAATCATTTAACTCAAGAGCTTTTTTTACATTATTGAAAAACTCTATTCTTTCAGACCCAATATTAGGGGCATAAATGTTAATAAAACAATAGACTAAACCCTCTATATTAGCTTTGACCATTTGAGCTCGACTTTTAACTAAGTCACAGGAACTCAAAACATTAATTTTTGAATTACTGGAAAAAAGTATTGCTACCCCTCCACTCAAATTACTCCCATGATTTAAAAAAACTTGACCACCCCAAAATAGACCCCATTCAACTTCATCTTGTGTTATGCTATGTGTTTCTTGTAAAAAAATTACATCTAGTCTATTTATTTTTCCCACCTCCTTAACCATTTCTCTCTTCTGTCTATCCCGCCCACCATTCATGTTTAAAGAGCCCACTCTTAAACTCCCCATAGAAAAAAAGAAAAGAAGGGACAGACAGAGAAAAAAAATAGGCAAAAGATGCATCATGATCAAAGCTGACATCATCTATTTTCTTACTAAAGCTCTCCTTCCTTTTCCTGTTTTATTTGGCTTGGAAACCTTTTTAAGTGCCGTGACATGTTTCCTCAAACGATACCGCTTCCGTTCATCCAACAAGTCCAAACTAACCATCTTTTGTAGTAATGCCACCGACCTAATAAATTTATCTGTGTCAGCAAAGTAATCATCGACCTTAACTGACTGACCAAACGTTTCATCCAGGAAATTATTAATTTCCTCCAGAGAATACAAATCTTTCACTCTATTTGACCCATCAAAACCTTCACCATCTGACTCATCCTGTTCCATCTCTTCAGCATCACTTTCCACCTGACTTCCAACATTCAACAAAGTAGTCACTTCATTCTCCGCGGATGCAACAAAAGCATTCTGGTCAGTAGGTACACTTTTCTCCGTAGCTTCAACTTCACTGATTTGTTCCCCTGTAATTTTCACCTCCTTTGGAGGTGCCACAGCGCTCTCAGCAGAAGTTGATGGCTCTGAGGAACTATCATCCACCTTACCATCTTGATTTGCCCCAGTATTCTCTACACTATGCATTCTTTCTCCCTGAACAGTAGACATACTACTAGAGGCTGCGCCACCTTGCCCATCAGCTTCATGTGTTTGTACAATGTGGTTCTCTGCACGTTCAGCTTGTTCTCTGTGCGGGCAATCAAGACGCTTGTGCCCCACATCCCCGCATTCAAAACATTTCATACTCCCTGAATTAGCATACACAGTGTAATATCCTCCTCCATGCTTTATCTTAAAGGATACATCCAAAGACTGTGTTGGAGAGTCTAGGAACATAAACACTTGTCTACGAAGTGAGATAACATGTTTTAAACGCGGATCCTTGCATCCGAGCGTTACGGTCTTAAAACCACTCGCAAACTTTCCAAACCTACGCAATTCTTGTTCAATCAGCTCATTTGGAATGAAAGGCGGTACACCTGAGACAACTACTCTTGTAGACGGCACTGATAACGGCGAAACTTGAACAAACAAATCATTGATAAACACTCCATTTTCAACCAAATCATGTACCAAGCGTTCGACTTTCAAAAAAACTACTGCCGCTTTATTCATTCTAGACGCATGAGAAATATTATCAAACCCTACCTGTTCACCAACTGCAATCAGAGCCTCCTCCATCGTAACACCGGGATCAGTAACGAACCGAACCCCGTGTCCAATGGACAGCGGCGGCGTCACAGCGGACGCCATACCCGCGAAAGTTTAAACAATTATTATTCCGTCTGTTTTCCGCCCGATGCAAAAAAATAAACGATGTCTTACCTTGACCATGCACGTGAGGAAATATGAAGAAAAATCACCACAGCAGCATGCCAAAAAAACATCTAAAAGCTAGCTCCCCATGCACAACCACTCACTCAATCATTCACTCACTCACACCAACGGAAACCGAAAACCGGAAGCCCGAGAGAGAGAGAGAGAGAGAGAGAGAGAGAGAGAAGAGAGAGAGAGAGAGAGAGAGAGAGAGAGAGAGAGAAAGAGAGAGAGAGAGAGAGAGAATGAAGAAAATAAGAGACTCTTTATTCTGTAAAGTCACATCATCTTCATCAGCAAATAAAACAGACAAAGGAAGAGAGATCTTCATCTTTATTTCACCAGATCACAAAATACTAAGGTGAAAATGTTTGTACAAATATAATGTTAATGTGTTCTAGTTTAAACAGTTGAAGTGATTTTAAGCATTTTGATTCTTGTATGTGAATGTGACTGACCTCAATCTCTCCAGTTTACAGTGTGAATCCTTCAGTACGGCACATAAGTGCTTCACTCCTGTGTTTCCTAGATTATTCTCGCTCAGGTCCAGCTCTCTCAGGTGTGACGGGTTTGATTTCAGAGCTGAAGTCAGGATGAGACTCTGTTTCTCTGTAATACTGCATACACTCAGACTGAAGACAGAGAAATAACAATAGTTCACATCTATGATGATCATCTTATTGAAGAGCTACAGCAGCATTTAGTTTCCAATAGTCTGTTTTAAAACCCAGTCACACTAGTTCTGTGCGCTGGAAGACACTGTTTCTTCTCTTTCATTTCTAACTATTTATTTGACGTCTCTCTTCTTTATTCTCTGTTGAAAAGGCAGATTTCTGACTTGCACTTTAATATATTTTTTGCATGAATATTAAATTATTCCCAATAGTTCATTCTCTTAATTTCATAGCTTTTCTCTTGGTTGCGCTGTTTCCAGTATTGTGTTTTTATGTTAGAGCTTGTATCCAATCATATTTCAGCCATCATGTGTTTCCAGGGTCAAATAAATCTGCCTGGAGGCCTTCAGAATCGACAGTGCAGGCGCCTGTAGCTTAAAATGAAAGCCAATGAAACTGTTTCTTTAACCAATCAGATAATCCGTCAGATTTAATCAGCCAATCAGATTTCACTTTGACTGCAGCGGGGCCATCTAGCAGGCGAATAATAACATCTGTATTTTCTCGTTCTTTGATTGGATGCGCGTACTATTACTGGTAGTATCCGCATCTGTAGCGAACTGCATAAACTAAAATATATTCCTGTAGATGTAATAGATTTCAACCCACAAATTAATGTTTCTTTTCCTCCTCGACCCCCAGCAGAAAAAAATCCCTTATTCAGCCTGAGCTAAACGCAGAGTAACGGGACTCTATTCGATCTCTCCGGGTAAAAACAGAACAGATTAATGAAAGTTATGCCACAAATGATTTTGAAGGCAAAAGTCCCGCTGATCTCGTTGATTTCGGTCAAAACTCTGTGTGAGAGCATGGGGCAGCTGTACACATCCTCATGTTTTGCGGTGACTGTGTGTGTGTGCTTCTGTCGAACAGGCACTCTCAGCCATAAAGCAAATTAAAACTTATGCTAGAAATATGACGAGACAGACGCGACATTATTGGAACTGAAACGCAGTTAGAACCTGTACGACAGTAATTGAAGTCTTCTTGAGGAAAGAAATAAGGATGGATTTTGTGCAAAAAATAATCTGTAGTTTTGGTGAGTATATGCTTTTCCCCCGTGGTGAATATGATTTTCTTCTTAATTTTTTGTATAAATTTGTGATCGAAACTTAATTTTTTTAAAACATTCATACTATTGTAACGTCTGAAAAGGGACTATTGTAACCCTTGAACGACAAGATAAGTGAGGCTTCGTTTCTGAACTTATAATCGGATTCGTAACGCAAGAACCACTTTACAAACGCACCAGCCGAACTCACGCGCTCGTTTCTCTCTACCGGCCTCTCCCGAACTCACCGCATAACCCAATAACTGCCGGTGCAAAATAAAAACAATTATAGAGAGTCTTTGCGCTGATACACTATTAAAAGTTATTAATTCAGGTAGGACAGATGGCCTAGGTGTGAAATGCACGGCCCGCCACTGCTGTAATTGCTGTACAGTATAATGACACTAACTGTAGTTTCTCCAGCTTGAATTGTGGGTTCATCAGTAGATCACTGAGGTTTTTCACTCCAGAGTCTCCTAGTTTATTCCCGCTCAGGTCCAGCTCTCTCAGGTGTGACGGGTTTGATTTCAGAGCTGAAGTCACATCAGAACAACCTTCATCTGTCATATCACAGCATCTTAACCTACATTAGCAGAGAGAGAGAGAGAGAGAGAGAGAGAGAGAGAGAGAGAGAGAGAGAGAGAGAGAGAGACTTTTTTTGACTTTTTAACCCACTTTATTACAAATAATCCAGGGTTAATTAAACCTTACATAGGTTTTTTTTTTAAAAGAATTATTTAAAATACAAACATATAATAATAAATATCACAAAAACAAAACAAACAGCATAGTTAAATATAGATTTTCAAAGCACCATCAAAATCAGATTCACATATGCACTGGTTTACTCCCCAAATAAGATTGAAAGTCTCCAGATCTTTAACCAAGTCATAATATGCATATTCCACCTTTAATCTAGTTTTAATTAATCCTTTTAAAATTGACATTACATCAGTTGACCCTGCATTATTTATTTTGCTTTTTCGTGAAATCCAAATTCCCATTTTTGCTTGCCCAAACAAAAAATTTAGCAAAACATGGATCTGTTTTCTGTTTCTACTATATTTTGGTCCATAGATAAATAACATAGGTGAAAACACTTCTCCCAAAACTATACACCATTCTTCCAATTTAGAAAACAAAGGCACAAGCCTTCCACATTGGAAAAATAAATGAAAGACAGTTTCAGTAATCCCACAAAAAGGACACCCCTCCTCAACCTGGGGATCGAGGTGTGCTCTGTATCTGTTTGTAGCTATTAACCCATGCACAACTCTCCACTGCAGGTCTCCAGACCTTTTTTCGATGGGAGGCTTGTACAAGGCCCTCCAGCATCCCTTCGGGGAAGAGCCTGATCCAAAAAACTCTTGCCATTTTGAGTCTTTAACTCCTCCCAAAGAGGGAGAGTGTGAAACTTTTACACAGGTGACATACAGTGCTTTCTTCTCAGTTTTACTAAAACAGTCCAATACAGGTATCTTGAAGGTCAACAAAGACCCCTCCTTTTCTTCAAAAATACCCGCAGCCGGAATTATTCTAAGTTCAGGAAAAGTTATCACCATGTCTTCATTAGTTGCTTCCACACTGCATTTAAGTTCCGTCGGTAGGCTCTCAAGAATTTCATTTAACAGTCTTTGTGTCCAACGAGTTGATCTTACTCCAATCTTGGAAGCTAACATTTCAGGAGACATCCATCCATCTGAAGTTATCAAATGTCCAATCTTTACAACTCCTGCAGCTTTTAGAAGATTCCTCGTCGATGGCGATTTTAAAATCACTGAGTCCACTTTAGAATTGTGCATCAGAGGTTCCTCCCTTGACCAGTGACCTCCCTCATCCATTGCATCTCTTGAGATGTTAAAAGTCCTCCAGGCTTTGAACACTGAGTGGTAAAAGGAAGTTAGTCCAGTCAAATCAACATTTTGAATATCCAGGAGAAACAAGTGTTTATCCAGCCCCATCCCTCCTGCTCTTCTGAGGAGGGCACCAGCTACTCCAGACCAGCTAACATCCACTCCGTAAAGATATCTTTTTACTGTCTGTAGTCTGAAAGTCTTAATTCTGCTTTTTATGTCCACCAGTCCTTGTCCACCTTCTTGTCTGGGCAGAAACAAAACTGATGCTTTTATCCAGTGGTTACCGGACCAAAAAAAGTCTGTTAAGCATTTTTGAATTTTCCCAACCAGATCTTCAGGAGGATCCAGAATGTTCATTTTGTGCCATAACGTTGAGGCTACAAGGTTGTTGCAGACCAGGGCTCTTCCCCTATAGGATAACTGTGGTAGCAACCAACGCCAGCAAGACAACCGAGCACACACCTTCTCCACCAGGCCCTCCCAATTCTGTCTCTTGTTATCCTCCTTTCCCAAAAACACCCCCAAATATTTTAACCCAGATTTTCCCCATTTTTGATTACTTGGGAGAGCTGGAGTGTTGTGGTCTAAACCACACCACAAAGCATCACTTTTTTCCCAGTTAACTTTTGCAGATGAAGCTTTACCATAACTTAATAAAATCTCTTTTAAAACCTGAACATCTTTAACATCCCTTAAAACAACAGTGATATCATCAGCATAAGCTGAAACCTTTACATACTCATCAACAAGATCACCTTTCACCTTCAAACCCATTAGACTCTCTCTTAATTTACATAGAAGAGGTTCTATTGCCAAACTATAAAGCTGACCAGAAAGTGGGCATCCCTGTCTGATACCCCTCTGCACCTTAACAGGGACACTCAAACCTCCTGCTATCTTTACCATACATACTGCATTATTGTACAACAACTTTATCATTTTCCTAAATTTCTCTCCAAACCCAAAAGCTTCTAATACTTTAAAAAGATATTGATGATCGACACGATCAAAAGCTTTTTCCTGATCGAGCGACAATATTCCTACATCAATATTATAACACATTGCATAATCAATAACATCACGTACCAAGTGTAAATTGTCAGCAATACATCTATCTTTTATACAGTATGATTGATCTTTGTGTATTATTTTAAACAATATTTTGTTCAATCTATTGGCAAGGCACTTTGACAAAATTTTATAATCAGTGCAAAGAATTGCCAAAGGTCTCCAGTTCTTAAGTATGGTAAGATCACCTTTTTTTGGAAGCAATGTTAAAACAGCCCGTTGGCAGCTCTTGGGTAGAAAGCCAGTACGATCACATTCCTTAAGCACATCAAATAAATCAGATCCAACTATTGTCCAGAAATGTTTATAAAATTCACCAGGAAGTCCATCTATACCAGGGGTACGACCCAACGAAAGACCTGTTACAGCATCACTTAATTCCTCAAAAGTTAATCCAGACTCCAATGCTTGTTTATCTTCTTCATTTAGCCGAGGAAGATCTTGTAAAAATCCATTTTGTATCGGGATGTCTATATCCTCAGGTGAGTATAAATGTGAATAAAAATTCACTGCTAGTCTGCGCATTTCCAAAGGGTCAGATGTACATTGTCCATTGTCATCCTTCAGGTTATGCATTTGGTTAACTTGTACACTCTTGCGTTGTAGATTGAAAAAAAAAGAGGTGGGACTGTCCATATCCTTTATAGATAAGAATCTATTTCTCACAAGAGCTCCTTTAACATTTTCATTTAAAATGGAGCTTAATTTTATTTTCTTCTCAGACCACTCATGCACATTGGGAGAAAGATCACCCATCATGTTTTTCTCAATGGCAAGGATTTCGCTTTCAAGTTGTTCCAGAGATTGTTTCAAACTAAAATTAGAGCAAGATGTATACTGCTGACAAAAATCCCTTATGTGAGCTTTACCAATTTCCCACCAAAGAATAACATTTTCAAATCTTGTTTTTTCTTTTCTCCATGTCTCCCAAAAGTGCTTAAAAGAATCACAAAAGCTCTTATCTTGTAGCAACTTGACATTAAAATGCCAGTAAACACTTCTATTTTTCTTAGAGTTCAAGTTACAATCAATAGTGATTAATTTGTGATCAGTGAAGGATGTGGGGACAATAGATGTATTAAAAATTCTACTTTTCATACTGTTTGATATGTACAGTCTATCTAGTCTTGCTGCTGAAATCCTCCCGTCACTAACCTTTACCCACGTATATTGCTTAACAGAAGGATTATTTTCTCTCCATATATCAGTGAGATTAGATGTTTTAATGACATTAGCAAGAAATGTAGATGACTGAAAATGAGGTTCCTCTCCATTTCTATCAATCAAAGCATTAATTGTACAATTCCAATCCCCAGCTAAAATAGTAAAAAAATTACCCTTCTGCTTTCCTAAAAAACCTTTTAATTTATCAAAAAGAATTATTCTCCCAGCTCCTATGTTAGGTGCATATACACTTATAAACATAAAAACAAGACCATTTAAATCAACTTTAACTGCTAAAACTCTTCCTGGTTCAATTTCACTTTTTTCCAAAATTTTGGCTTTTATAGAAGGTGAGAAAAGAATGGCAGTTCCTGCACTCAGATTAGTACCATGTGTGAGCACACACTCATTCTTCCACCACAATCGCCAGTCAACCTCATTGTTTGCATCACTATGAGTCTCTTGTAAGAAAATAACATCTAATTTCTTTAGCTTTATAAAATTAATCACTGTATCAGCTTTACTCTTATCCCTCATTCCGTTGACATTTAAGGATCCCACACGTAGGGTTTCCATGAGAAAGAAGAAGATTAGAAAAAAACCAATCAGACAGAGATGTGTATTAGCCATAGCGATTAGGTATATTTCCCCCTTTTCCCTTTCCCTGTCTTAAACCTTTTCCTAATTTCAGTTATATGTTTCTTTAACCTAAAACGTTTCTGTTGTGACAACTCATCAGTACTGCAATTTTTCCTTGCCCATGTTACAGATGAGATAAACTTTTCCAGATCTGGGAAAAAATCACTCACCTCTATACTTTTACCTTTTGTCTCATCCAGAAAATAATTGATTTGTGCCACAGTGTACAGATCTTCTATATCTATTTTTGACGTTTCTGACCCTTCAGACCAGTGTCCATCATCTTTCATACTGTCATCTGTACACTGAGATAGCCCATCTAACTCACCCACCGAGCATTTCTCAGCCCTTTCTATCGCAGTCTGTGTTACAAACTCATTTTCTTTTACTTCTTCAACATCATCATTTATGACAAGCGCAGAACTACATTCAGCCTTCTCACTTCTCTCCACATCCATACCATCATCGCTTTTACTCACCTCTTTGTGCCCGTGTACCTCCTCCAACGGCCTTTTGTTTGGTTTCTCAGATACTCGTTCATCCTGTGTTTTTTCCGTATTATCCTCAACATCACTGGTATCATTGTGATGCACTAATCCGTTTTCAGTAAGATCAACAGGCAGCTGCTGCTCAACATCCGCTTTTTTTTTGGGACAGGTGAAACGTTTGTGGCCTATATTTCCACATTCAAAGCACTTTAGGTTATCTGTACTTGCATACAGCATATATGATCCATCTCCATGACTCACACGAAACGAGATCTCTAATGTGCGCTCTGTTGAGGTCAGAAACATTAACACCTGTCTCCTAAAAGACAAAACGTGTTTGAGGTCAGCATTTTTACATCCCAATGGAATGTTCCTTACAGGACTTGCGACTTTACCATATCGGGATAACTCTTTAACAATCGCGTCATTTGAGACAAACGGCGGTACGTTGGAAACAGTGACTTTAGTTGCCGGAGCCGTTAAAGGAGTAACGGGCACAAAGGTTTCCTTAATCCATAATCCATTCTCACTCACTTGATTAACTAACTGTTCAGTTTTTAAAAACACAATAACGGCTTTGTTCATACGCGATGCTGAGAGAATATTTTCAAAACCTATAATTCCTCCCACCACCACGAGAACATCCTCCACACTCACGCCAATATCAGGCACACACCTGCAACCATTACGCATCGACAGGTGTGAGACTCCCTGCCTAACCTCAGAGGCCATACCGACACGCGACAAAAGCCGCGAGCGGCTTTAAAACTCTGCAACCTCAAACCAAGGAAAAAGTAAAGACCATAGTGGGAAGAAGAAAATAGGAAAATACTTTCAAATTTGTCAAAGTCCACGCTCGCTCTACACACTACGCTCACTCGCCCTACCACACTCGCACATGCGCAGAGAGAGAGAGAGAGAGAGAGAGAGAGAGAGAGAGAATGAAGAAAATAAGAGACTCTTTATTCTGTAAAGTCACATCATCTTCATCAGCAAACAAAACAGACAAAGGAAGAGAGATCTTCATCTTTATTTCACCAGATCACAAAATACTAAGGTGAAAATGTTTGTACAAATATAATGTTAATGTGTTTTAGTTTAAACAGTTGAAGTGATTTTAAGCATTTTGATTCTTGTATGTGAATGTGACTGACCTCAATCTCTCCAGTTTACAGTGTGAATCCTTCAGTACGGCACATAAGTGCTTCACTCCTGTGTTTCCTAGATTATTCTCGCTCAGGTCCAGCTCTCTCAGGTGTGACGGGTTTGATTTCAGAGCTGAAGTCAGGATGAGACTCTGTTTCTCTGTAATACTGCAATAACTCAGACTGAAGACAGAGAAATAACAATAGTTCACATCTATGATGATCATCTTATTGAAGAGCTACAGCAGCATTTAGTTTCCAATAGTCTGTTTTAAAACCCAGTCACACTAGTTCTGTGCGCTGGAAGACACTGTTTCTTCTCTTTCATTTCTAACTATTTATTTGACGTCTCTCTTCTTTATTCTCTGTTGAAAATGCAGATTTCTGTGTGTACACAATCAGTACATTGTATCAGATATTGGGAATTAAAAAAAATACAAACTACACTTTATTAACTAGATAAAAAACTGTGAAAAGATAAAGAAATAGAAAAAAATGTGAGCAATAGGTAAACCCAGAAAGTGCACTGCTATAACCAATGAAACATAAGCCCTGCTGTCTTCAAATAAATAAACTTCAGTCACACTGTAATTGCTGTACAGTATAATGACACTAACTGTAGTTTCTCCAGCTTGAATTGTGGGTTCATCAGTAGATCACTGAGGTTTTTCACTCCAGAGTCTCCTAGTTTATTCTTGCTCAGGTCCAGCTCTCTCAGGTGTGACGGGTTTGATTTCAGAGCTGAAGTCACATCAGAACAACCTTCATCTGTCATATAACAACAGCTTAACCTACATTAGCAGAGAGAGAGAGAGAGAGAGAGAGAGAGAGAGAGAAAGAGAGAGAGAGAGAGAGAGAGACAGTTGGCAGCAAAAATATGAGCTCCTGACATCAACAACATTTTTGCCAGAAAATGTAAGTTTTTTATGACTCAACCTGTAGTTAGATGATTGGAAACAAAAGAGGCAGAAGATTTTGAAGGTAAGACCTCTGAAAAAGATTTATTTTTTTTTGTCATCACCTAAAATCTGCATAGAAACTCAACATATCAAGCTAACTGCTAGCCAAGCTAACATTCCGTGGCAGTTATTTCAGTTGAGAACAACATGGGCCTAGCTAAAGCAGAGGCATTTTTCAAAAATGAAGAGGAGCTGGAGATAATATACCCAGCAGAAGTTAAATCTACTAAAGATAAGAAAAAGATGAAAGAGACGATCCTGAGAGAGAACCCAGAGTTACTGCTGTCTGACTACAGTGGACCAGAAGACAACAGAGTCCGGTGTAACCTGCTGTTCTTCACTGAACACTAGAGTTGAGCCGAATACTCGGCTGAAACGAGTATCCGGTACGGATAAAGCACTTTTGTCAAGTACGAATATTATACGAGTAATACGAGTCAATATCTGTGCTCGGATAAAAAAAAAAAAAAAAAAAAAAAAAAAAGTTATGTTGAGATTAAGGCTGAGCGATATATCAATATAAAGAATATATATATTTTTAAATGTGATATGTAATTAGACCATATTTCATATCAATATAGGCTTAGTTCAGGTTTGCGCTGTGATCCTTGCTCCAAGCAAGCTGCTGAGTGCTGAACCCGAGCTCTCTGCACTGCTCCCCGCGCCCCAGCCACTCCTTTTCCACTTTGCGTGCTTGATTAAAGCATGTTATGTTATGAAATAAAGTCTTTCACCTCAGCAAAACGGACTTTCTGTCCTGTCAGCCGTTATACTGTAACGTTAGTCGTAGCGCACACTCAATTGCACGCGCAAATGCGGCGGCGCGCGCTGGACCGCCTCACTGTATGCAAAAGAAACTATACGAGCATGCAACACCGTTATGTTGTAAATTACACGAAATAAAAGCAATGCAGTTATGATTTTCATTCTATTCACCAGGAGCAGTTTCCATGTTTCATAAACAGTTCTTGTTAGTATTGTGTATTCACTATTCACCATGGTAACTGTCGTTTCTATATTAACCCCTTAATACCCATATTTTTCTTTGTGTTATTTTTTATATTTTTTTAAATGACTGTAATGGCTCATACCAACGTTGTAATAACAAAATAAATAAACCAATTAATAAATCACAATTACAATTCCAAGGGAATAATCTGCAATTAAGATTTTGGTCATAGCTAATCATGCAGCCCTAAGGTGAAGAAACCTGTTTATTATTTATTCATTTGATTTAGCAAATGTTCAAGTTTCAATAAAACTACTTGTGACATGTCATATTTGGCTTTGACTGAACATTTGCTCTCACTTTGCAGAAAAAATATTGGGATATATTTTGTATATCGAAATTCAGCCTAAATATATATCGGGATATGACTTTTGGTCCATATCACCCAGCCGTAGTTGAGATGAAAACTCTTGTTCATTACATTTTACTTCATAATTGCAGCCACATGTGTTGTATTCATTGTTGCAAAACTTGTTCTGTAGTTCGTTTGTTATCGTGATCAAAACCATTGATCTGAAGCTCAATGCTGATGCTGTCATGTAAATAGTTTTATTTCTTATCAGCAATAAATATAGCAATTTCAGATCAACCCATATCAATTGCATGCTTAAAATAACATACCGGTTAAAGCCCCGCCCATTTCAAGACTACCCGGCCCACTTCCGGGTTTAGGCCCCGCCCAGTCCGAGTACAGATACAGATACAGATAATTCATATGGTTAACAGATACAGATACAGATACAGATAATGCTGTACTCGCTCATCCCTACTGAACACCCATCAGCCTGGCACACCATCCTCAGCTCTGCCATGACATGCAGAAGGAAAGGAGGCATCAGCAAAGGCAGACAGCTCACTCTGGAAGGAGACAACGACACAAAGTTGATCGTGAACCTCTATCATAACGGAACCGTCATGGTCCAGGGACCAGAAACCAGCCTCAATGAATTCCAGAGGAACTTCAGAAACTTTAAAGTGGAGGTTCAGAAGATTAAGAAAGATCCTGAAGTGAAGATAAACACAGAGGAGGGACTCTGCAACACAACGGACTCAAACACTGACCCAGGCTCAAGATCTCCTCTGACAGACAGACACATCAGCACTCCTGCATCTCCTAAGATAAAGGCCTTGAAAGACAACATCGCAGAGCTGGAGCAGGACTACTACTTGTTTAAAGAGGAAACTACCAACAACATCCACCAGCTCCTGAATATGACCAGCCATCAACAACTACAACATCTCTCCTCGGCCGTTAAACATCTGGAGGAGGCCAACCAGGAGCTGCGACAGGAGCTGAGGAGGGTGAGAGAAGAGCTGGATAGAAGAGAGCAACACGGACACACACTGGAGAGACTGCTGGAAGAAACCAGAAACCAGCTGCACACAAAACAACATCAGCAGTGTGTCAGCACTCAAACACACAGTGCCCCCACTCCAGAACACATCCCAACATCAGCAGTGTCAGCCAACACAACAAACAGCTCCTTTACTCCTGAACGCATCCCAACCACAGCTACACATCAGCAGTGTGTCAGGACACCATCACAGAGCTCCTCCACTCCTGCAACCCCACGATCTCATCAAGCCCCTCAGAGGAAAGTCAGCAGCAGCATCCCACCATACCGTCCACCAACTACACCCTCCATGAGCAGCGGCAGAGATCAGGCGAGTAAAGACAACATCGTCATCCTCTGTGACTCCAACGGCCACTATCTTGACCACAGACGTCTGTTCCCTGGCAGATCGGTGAAGAAGTTCTGGTGTCCCACCTCACACTCTGCTCTGAGACTGCTGCGAGAGGGAGTGCTGGGTGCACCGTCACACATCATCCTCCACACCGGAACAAACGACCTCAGTGCGAGGGTGGACGTCACTAAAGCCCTGTCCAACGTGGTGAAAACAGCCAGCAGGATCTACCCCGGAGCCAAGCTCATCATCTCAACCCTTCTACCCCGCAGAGACGTCCCTCAAAGGATCATCAACACAATCAACGTGGAGATAGCCAACATCTGTGCTTCAATGCCGAACGTTCACATAGCCAACCATCAGCGCATCACCCACGAGCATCTATATGACCGTCTCCACATCCATCGCGAGGGCATGAGACTGTTCGCTAAAACCATCAAGGAGTCAGCCCTGAAACGGCCTCAGAGAACACCCCCTGAGCGTGAGAGAGTCCGACCGATGGACAGCTACGCCGCTGTAGTGGCAGGAACAGGTAGAGCTGACACTGACCTGATCCAGATCAAACACATGCTGGAGATTATTTGTGACAATATGTTAGCTTAAATACTTATAGTGTGTCTGTCAAGAATGACCATTATTTCTTAATCACTTTTCTTTTTTTTTTTATTTATTTATTTATTTATTTTTTTTATTCAATGTGTAAAATTGATCGACTCACCATAATTTTATATACCCTCTATATTACCTTTCTAACTTATAACTCTATATTTTAAAACATTATTGGGTCATGAATTTCATACATTTTTCTGGTAAATCCATTGTTAAATGTCAATGTCATCATTTAAAATAACATGCTATAACATTCAGGGGATGTTCTCTTCTGCTTTTGGGGAGAAAACTACTAACCCTGATTTTGTTAATATTGTATATAGTTCAGATATAATTATTTTACTTGAGACATGGTGTCGTTTAGACTCCAAAATCTGTACTTCTCCAAACTACAGAGAGCTACGAATCCCTTCAATCAAACAGCCTAACATTAAAAACGGAAGAGATTCAGGAGGAATCATAGTTTGGTTTAAAGATCATTTGTGGCATTATATTCAGCCTGTCAAAAAAGGGAAAACGCATATTTGGTTAAAACTTCAGAAAGAGCTTCTGTGTTTAGATGAGGACATGTACCTGTGTGCCACATACATCCCCCCATACGAGTCTCCTTATTATAATGAAGATATCTTCCCAACCCTACAGTCAGAGATCGTTTACTTTCAATCTCTAGGATCGGTTCTGTTAATGGGGGATCTGAATGCTAGAACGGGGAAGGAAGCGGATTACATTAACTCAGATGGAGACAAATACATTAACAATTCACATATATATCAGCGGAAACACTTCACGAAGGCCCGTCAGAATTATGACAACACGATAAACAGGCACGGAAAACAAGTCCTCCAGCTCTGCAAGAGTCTGGGCCTGTATATAGTTAACGGCAGAACCAAGGGAGACTCTCTGGGTCGGTTCACCTACTG